TGTTTTTGTGCTTGGGTATTGGATCAGGGCCATGTTTTTACTTTTCATGAATATTCTAGTCTTTGGCTTCCTCATTTCTTAGCTGCTTATTTCATTTTTCTGAGATAGTTTACTTGCCCAGTGACCCCAGGGCAGTCCCATATCTCAATTCCAAGTGTATTTTCTTTCTTTTTTGTTAATCCTCACCCGAGGATACTTTTTCCATTGTTTTCTAAAGAGAGTGAAAGGGAGGAAGGGCAGAAAGGAGAGTGAAGGGAGGGGATGAGAAAAAGACAGACAGACATTGATGTGAGAGAGACACATTGATTAGTTGCTTTCTGCATGTGCTTGGACCAGGGGCAGGAATTAAACCTGCAACTCAGGTACCTGCTCTTGACTGGGAAGCAAACCTGTGACCCTTTGGTGCATAGGCTGACACTCTAACCACTGAGCCATATCAGCCAGGGCCCAAGTGTGTTTTCATAGGAACTATACCAGGGGTCCTCAAACTTTTTAAACAGGGGGCCAGTTCACTGTCCCTCAGACTGTTAGAGGGCCAGACTACAGCTTAAAAAAAAACTATGAACAAATTCCTATGCACACTGCACATATCTTATTTTGAAATAAAAAACCAAAATGCGAACAAATACAATATTTGTATTTGCATGTGGTCCACGGGCCGTAGTTTGAGGACCCTTGAACTATAGGATGTTCTGCTCTGGGGCCTGCTGCTGGGATGGTCTGCTGTCCTCCCTATACATTTAGCCTGGGCTCTGCATCCCACCTACTCTCAGTCTATTCTCCACAGTATAGCTAGAGCAGTGGTTTTCAACCTTCCTAATGCTGCGACCCTTTAATACAGTTCCTTATGTTGTGGTGACCCCCAACCATAAAATCATTTTCGTTGCTACCTCATAACTGTAATTTTGCTACTGTTATGAATCGTAATGTAAATATCTGATATGTAGGATGTATTTTCATTGTTACAAATTGAACATAATTAAAGCATAGTGATTAATCACAAAACAATATGTAATTATATATGTGTTTTCCGATGGTCTTAGGCGACCCCTGTGAAAGGGTCGTTCAATCCCCAAAGGGGTCGCGACCCACAGGTTGAGAACCGCTGAGCTAGAGTCATCCTTTAAAAACCTAGGTCAGCCCATGAGAGCCCCTGCTAAAGACTCCTAGGCATGTCCTCTGCTCCAGCCACACAGCCAGCTTGTTCCCAAGCACACTTCTCCTGGACTTCGCTTTTGCTAGTCCCCAGCCTGGAGGATTCCTCCCCAGATATCTGCCTGGTCTAGTTTTCCCATGGTTGGGGTTTCTCCTTAAATGTCAGAGGGTTTTCTTGATCCTAAATCTAGAGGGCTGTCCTGCCTCTCTCTCCCCTTTCGTCCTTTCCTGGGTTGATTTTTTCTCCACAGCGCCTATGACTACCTGACAATGTATTCCTACTTGTTGATCTACTGTCTGTCTCCCCAGGTCTGTGAGAACAGACATTGCCTGTTCTGTTCACTGCTATCTCCCCACTCTTGCTCATGGTGTAGTAGAGGCACAATAAATATTGTTGACTGACTAAATGGACCCCATATCACTTGTGTTCTTTGGTGCTGAGATAACCTGTTACCACTTTGATGCCTCAGGAGCTTCTGTCACTCACCACCCCGATTCAATGACTCCCAATAGACCCTGAGCCCATGCCCCTTTCCTGAATGGCACACTTAATTGCCTCCTCAAAGGCTCTGCTTGGGTGTCTAACAGGTGTCTCAAACTTAACATGCTCCAAATTAAACTTTTGAATGTTCCCCACTAACTTACTCTGCACAGCAGATGGTCAGTGGTGATTCTAGCTTTCCTGGCCAGAAAACTCGGGGTAATTCCTGACTTCTGTCTTCCTCTCAGACCTCACATACAATCCCTCAGGAAGCCTGACCTTACATTGGGTCCAGAATCCAGCAGATTTTCCACACCCGCACTGCGACCAGAGCAGTCCCAGGCACCATCGCCCTCCCCTCCCCGGGGCAACTTCCTCATTGGTCTCCCTGCTTTCACCCTTGCTTCCCCACAGACTAGCTTCACAGAGCCCTTGAAAACACAGGTAAGTCCAGAAGAGGCACATCTATAGACAGAAGACAGATTAGTGTTGCCTAGAGCTGGGAGGTTAGGTGGAAGTGGGAGTGACTGCTAATGGGTACAGGGTTTTCCTTGGGGGATAAAATGCTCTAAAATTGATTGTGGTGATCCATGCACAACTTTGAATACACTAAAACCATTGAGTTGTTTTAAAAAACAAATAAGCATGTTTTTTAAACATTAAAATAGTCATGTCTTGTCCGTTCCCTGATCAGAACTCTCAGTGGCTCTCATTTCACTCTGAATTAAAGTCAAGGCCTTTTTGATGCCTACTAGGGTCTCCCTAACTTGGTCCCCATTATGCCTGACCT